CGAGAGATTTCATCTAGCCCCAACAGAATTGCCTAGCATTGAAAAAAACATGATGAGGGCTGAAGAAATGGCTAGTGGTGGCTTGCCACCAACCTGCTAATCTCAGTTCAATGCCCAGGACCAACATGGTGAAAGGAGAAAACTGATTTCCTATGACCTCATACATGTGCACCATGACACACGTGTGCCACATACATGTGTATGCATTCACACTAAATAAATGTAATAAATATTTTTAAAGAAACTGTATGATGGCAAATGTTGGAAAAGATATGGGAAAGGGGAAACCCTATTCACTTGTGAGATTGAAAGCTAGTGTAGCCACAGTGGAAATAGCATGGATGATGAAAAAACTATAACATGATTCAGCTTTCTCACTCCTGGGTGTGGTGTGTGTGTGTGTGTGTGTGTGTACCAAATGATTAATTATCATTCCTCAGAGACAGCTATGCATCCATGTTTATCATAGCACTTTATTCAGCCATGAAGCCTGTTAACAAATAAGAGAGTAAAGGAAACATAGCTAAAACACAGTGGAATATTATTCATCCATAAAGAAAAACACAATTATATTGTTTGCAGGAAAATGGATAGAATTTCCTACATGTGACCTACATTCTCTGTGGAAATTACGGACAGAAACTGAGAAGTCATTTCTTCCTTAAAAGTGTCTTGTCACAGTCCCTACTATTCCCTGTTGCCTCTTTAATTCAAAGTGAAGTGTCAGTTGCCATTTGTCAGTGACGATGAGCTATTTCTTTACTTGTATTTCTCAGATGTGGAGAAAAGAGAAGAAAAACAACTTGGTCGTTCAAGAAAAATTGGAAAAGACTATTTCAAGATGTGAAAGCATCTGATTTATTTTGCAAAGTGTCTTTAACAAAAGAAGGCACACTAGACACAAAGCATTTTGCATTTTCTTCATTTATTTTACTGTGTGTATATGTGGGTGGGTGCAAGTGGGACACCACACACCAATGGAGGGCAACTTTAGGAAGTTTTCTTTGTTCCACAATGTGGTTACCTGGTAAGAGCATGCTAGAACCTTTGTTGTTGTTGTTTGTTGTTTGTTGTTAGTTATTGTTGTTAGTGTTGTTGTTTGAGATGGGGGTTTATTGTTTAGTCCTAGCTGGCTTAGAACTCTCTATGTAGACCAGGCTATCCCCCACTTCACAGATATCTGACTGCCTCTGTCTTCTCAGTGCTGGGATTCAAGATATACTCCACCTTGTGGTGTACTCAAAGTGTACACAACATTGATTGTGTTACACTACTAAACTTCAGCCTACTTTGTTACTGAACAAGAGGTAATGAGGACACCCCAGATGATCCTGATAATGCACCCCTATCAAAATAGTAGCCTTACTTAAAAATCGAATTCAGGGCTTATCAGCCCAACTATTTCCTAATACACCTTATGATTGGCATATGTTCCAGAGACTGACTGATTGACTGATTGACTTACTCCTAAGGATAAATACTCAAAATATGATGGCTAGAACATCACTCAGAATATTATAAACAAAACTGACAGAGTAATACTCATAACAAAGATAATTCTCTCAGAAGAACTACCTCTAAATTGAAGCCTAATAAATGAGTAGAAGAGATATATCCATTAAAATAACCAACAAAGTTCTCTGATATCAGTAACTTTATATCAACAATTGACAAATGGAAACTCATGAAATTGCAAAGCTTCTGTAAGGCAAAGGACACTGTCAATAGAACAAAATGGCAATCCTACATCTGATAGAGGACTAATATCCAAAACATACAAAGAATTCAAGAAGTTAAACTGCAGAGAACTAAACAACCCTATTTTAAAAAATAGGGTACAGAGCTAAACAAAGAATTCTCAACTGAGGAATCTCAAATGGCTGAGAAGCACTTAAAGAAATGTTCAACATCTTTAGTCATCAGAGAAATGCAAATCAAAATGACCCTGAGATTCCACTTCACACCAAGCAGAATGACTAAGGACAGCAGATACTGGTGAGGTTGTGAAGAAAGAGGAACATTCCTCCATTGCTGGTGGGACTGAAAGCTGGTAAAAACATTTTGGTAACAGTTCTGGCAGTTCCTCAGAAAATTGGAAATAGTTTTACCTGAAGACCTAGCTATACCACTTCTGAGCATATACCCAAAAGATGCTCCAACATATAACAAAAACACATGTTCCACTATGTTCATAACAGCCTTATTTATAATAGCTATAAGCCGGAAAGAACCCAGATGTCCTTTAACAAAGGAATGGATACAGAAAATGTGGTACAGGCTGGCCTGCAGCCAAGAGAAATGAGGAGGAGGGGAGCCCCATCAGTACCCCTCCAGAAAAAGACTCTGTTGTTGTACTTGCTTGGCAGCGTCAGCTAGCTAGCTTGTATTGGCAGCTTCCATGGCGGGAACGCAGAAAGATTTTCAGGTGAAAAGTTAGGCACAGCAGCTGTAGCGACAGAGGTTCATTAAAGGCCTTCTCCACGGTTCCCCAGGGCGGGCCCCCAAAAGACACGAAGAAGTCCATGGTTTTTACAGGCTTTATTTAGGTGGGGGATGATATATAAATCTTGCTGTACCCTCTCCCCCCCCACCCACCACTAGGGCGGGCCTTTGGTTAAATACCGTTTGTAAGGAGGAGGGTCTGCCAGCGCTCTACCAAAAGCCAAGCCATCTTTTCACCGCCCCACAATATGGAGTTTAAAAAGAAGGAAGACCAAGTGTAGATGCTTTAATCCTACATAAAACAAAGAACAAAACAATAACAGGAGGTAGAGGGAGAGAGGGGGCTTGGAGGTAGGGGGGAAGGGGCAAGATCAGGTATTGGAAGGGACAGGAGAGAGAAGTATAGGGTCAGGAAACTGACTAGAAACATGAGCAGTGGGAGATGGGGAACTGGGGATAGTGACTAGAAGTCCCAGACTCCAAGGAATTAAGAGGCTCCCAGGGCCCAAGGGTAATAACTTTAGCCAAAATACCCAACAAAGGGAAAATACAACCTGTAGAGAAAGGGAAAATACCTCCAGTAGATAGGCACAGCCCTCAGTTGAGGGATGCGGCCACCCACCCATCTCAAAATTTTCAACCCAGAAATGTTTCTGTCCAAAAGAAAGATAGGGATAAAATATGGAACAGAGACTGAAGAAAAGACCATCCAGAGACCACCACACCTATGGATCCATCCCATCTGCCCAGATCCCATACTATTGCTGATGCTTGCTGACAGGAGCCTAGTATGGCTATTCCCTGAGAGGTTCTACCAGCACCTGACCAATACAGGTGCAGATACTCACAACCAACCATCTGACTGAGCCCAGGGTCCCCAATGGAAGAGCTAGGGGAAGGACTGAAGGAGCCGAGGCATGTTGCAACCCCATTGGAAGAAGAATATCAACTAACTGGACCACCCAGAGCTCCCAGGGGCTAAACCATCAACCAAAGAGTATATATACATGGAGGCAGCCATGGCTCCAGATACATACGTAGCAGAGGATGGCATTATCTGACATGAATGGGAGGGGAGGCCCTTGATCCTGTGGAGGTTTGATGCCCCAGCTTAGGGGGATAATGGATCGCTGAGGTGGGAGTGGTGAGTGGATGGAGGAGCACCATCATAGAGACAAAAGGGAAGGGGGAAATGAGGGACGGAATGTGGGGTTTGTGGAGGGGTAACTGGAAAAGAGGGTATCATTTGAAATGTAAACAAATAAAATGATTAATTAAAAAGAGAATTCTAGGAGCAGAAAATAATAAAAATGAAGTAAAGTCTGGGTAAAAAAAATTTTAAATTATTCCATGATTTATGGTTGGGTTTTTTTGCCAACTGATGTAAATTTGAGGTAGTGAAAATAGATTCTTTTTAGTGATGGTCCATATTGGGAAGGTATCCATCTCTTTAATAAATGTTTTTTACTACATGACAACTACTTATGTAAACAGAGTTAGTAAGTTTTATATTAGACATGACTATTTTTTTGAGACAGGGATTTACTATGTGTCTTGAATAACCTGGAGCATGCCAGACTCATGCAGAGCCACTTGCCTCTGTCTCGAGAGTGCTGAGATTAGAGTTACACACCACGCCTGGCAAGATATAACATTTTCATAATTTAGGTTATCCTACATATTGTGAGATGTTATAGCAAAAAATACAAAAGAGATTTTTGAAAAATAGAAGATAGGGAAAGAAAGCTTTGTAGAAGAATTTTTGCCTAGCACACTCAAGGCCTTGTGCTAACTCCCCAAACACACACACACACACACACACACACACACACACACACCAATGGAGGAATGTCATAAGAACACAAGAAGTAGGTGGAAGCATACCCCACAGGGCAAAGGTGGGAGAATGATGATTCTATCTTTTAAAAAGTTGGAACATTTGAGTCAAAACTGGCAGGAGAAAAAAGTATATATTTAAATATAATGATTGAAAAATAAAGTTTCTGCTGAATGATGAGGAAGGAATGGGAGTTGGAAAACCACCATTTGTAATATCATGGGAAAGACTCATTCAGTCAAGACAAGTTAATAGATGCTAAATATAGAAGAAATATTTTAGAGGAAACTTGGTATTTACATGGTCTTTAAAAATATCTAGAGAGATAGGGTAGGTAGATGGCTCAGTGGCTAAGACCACTTGCTGCTCTTGCAGAGAAACCAAGCTCAGTTCCTAGCATCCATGTTGAGTGGCTCATAAATACATGAAACTCTAGCTTCAGAGGACCCAGTACTTTCTTCTGGCTTTGACTGGTACCCACATACATGCAGAACTCACTCACTTAGACACACACAGAGACATAAATAAAAGTATTGAAAATCAGTCTTAAAGAAATATCTCAAGAAGCTTAGTCATTATGGGAATGCAGTTGAAGACAATAGCCTGTCAAAGTTCCATAGCTCTATAGGATAATTGTGGTTGATAATTGTTAATTACACATTTCAAAGTAACTGCTAAAGAATATTTTTAAGCTTTCTGAGCTGATAGTGCTCCTGAAAACATGGTGAACATGCCTAAGACCCGCCAGACATTCTGCAAGAAATATGGGAAGCACCAACCCCACAGGGTGATGCAGTACAAGAAGGGCAAGGATTCTCTGTCTGCCCACGGAAAGCGGCATTATGACAGGAAACAGAGTGGCTATGGTGGGCACACTAAGCCTATTTTCCACAAAAAGGCTAAAACTACAAAGAAGATTGTGCTGAGACTGGAGTGCATTGAGTCCAACTGTAGATCTAAGAGGATGCTGGCTAGTAAGAGGTGCAACCATTTTGAAGGGAGGCAACAGAAGAGAAAGGGCCAAGTGATTCAGTTCTAAGCTGATTTTGTTATGAAGATAATAAAATCTTGACTTTTCATCCCCTTTGATTGCAGTTGGTCTTTGGGAAGGGAATAAATTAAAGCTTTCAGAAAAAAAGAATATTTTTAAATGTCTCTAGCACAAAAAGAATGATCAAGAGATGGTAGATATGTCAATTATCCTTATCTGATTATAACACAATGTATGCATGCATTAAAATGCTACACTGAATCCAATACATATAGTTATGTCAACTAGCAATATAAAAGTTACTAAAAAGGTGTCCTACTACAAATTATTAAATAGAAAATTTAGTATATAATATAAAATTGTATAATAAAGGCATTGGTAATACCTTGACCAAGTAATCAGAAATGTCATCAAAGAAGAGGTAGCTGTCATGTTTTCATGAATGTGGCATTTCAAGAAGGATTTAAGTCTTATGTGGCATTCTCATCAGAAATACTACTTGAAAGGCTGAAAGAAACCCTCATCAAGGCAAAGAAGAAGGAGGAGAGGGTAAATGTGGGATGGGGGTTTTGTAGAGGGGTAACTGAGCAGGAGAATAACATTTGTGATATAAACAAATGGAATGATTAATTAAAAAGAAAAAAAGAAAAGAAAGAAAGCTCAATGGGTCAGAGTACTTCACACAAAGCCTGACAACCTCAGTTCAATCCCCAGGACTCATATGTTGGAAGGAGTAAACTGACTCCCACAAGCTGTCCTCTGACCTCCACACATTCGTGGTGGCATATGCACCCACACCCACCTCAGAAAGAAAAACAAAGAAAGAAATATAAATAAGTAGACAGAGAAGAACAAAGAAAAACTACCTGAGAATCTAGTCATGGGGAAATATCTGATAAACTCCAAATAGGAATATCATAATCAAATAAGACGACTATATTCTTTAGAAACTTCAGTCTCACGCAGACTGAGAAAGTATCAAAATGAAGATTAGAGTCCAATTTCTACTGGGAGGGTTAAAATGCCTTAAAATTACATTATTGGCTCTGCTGATAAACATAGTCAGTGGATCAAGGTACTGAATCAATGGTAAGTGTATTGGTTTGATAAATCATCATGGTTGTACAAATCTACAGTGATGCAGCACTAGGACAATAACGTATATGGCACACTCTCAAATAAGTCCCTGTGCATGTGAATGCTCACAGAGAAGCGAGGACTGAAATAACGGGAGAAAGAAAAGGCAAATACTACAGTCATTGCATGTTGACAGTATATAAATGTTAACAGTGTTGAACTATATTAACACTATGCAAACCATGTTGGATGTAGGCTATACAGACTTCTTAGTATTTTTTTGTATATTTCCTATAAATATGAACTTCCTTCCATGTAAAATTCAATAACATTAAATCGGCATTTAAATAGAAAAAAAATAAGATACAATATCAAAATGGTAGTACATACTTCTCTTGCAGGGAACTATCAGTTCCTAGCACCCACATCCAGTGGGTTATTATCTTCTATACCTTCAACTCTAGGGGATCTTGGACTCCCTGGACACCTGTACTCACAGGCACACACCCACAAAGAAACACATACTGTCTTAGTAAGGGTTTCATTGCTATGAAGAGACACCATGACCAAGGCACCTCTTATAAAAGGAACTCGTTTAATTGGGGCTGGATGACAGTTTCAGAAGTTCAGTCCATTATCATCATGGTGGGAAGTATGGCATCATATAGGCAGATTTGATACTTGAGGAGCCAAGAGTCCTTTGATCCGAAGGCATCCAGGAGGAGACTCTCTCCCACAAGTAGCTAGAAGGGGGCTCTCTTCCACACTGGGCAGCGCCTGAGCATAAGGGCAGACCTCAAAGCCGACCTACATAGTGACACACCTCCACCAACAAGGCTACACCTCCTAATAGAGCCATTTCCCATAGGTCAAACATACTCAGACCACCACAGGTACACATAATTAAAAATAAATCTTAAAATGAACATTTTTAGACAACTTCTCTAAGCACTACATTTAAACTAAGTAGTCACTAGTAGTCAGATATGATTTTAACAGCAATAAGTTTTATGTGTGCAATTTCTTGTTTTATGGGTTCAGGGTGACAATACCATATGCTGACTTTCAAAAGCTTCAGGACTACACATGAACCTTGAGTTTCTTTGGAATCACATACAGTCTTTGATTCTATGACAGTGGCGCTTACACCAAAACTATTTGATATACAAAAGCTCAAGCCAGACAAGATTCCAGCACAGAAGAAGAAAGGTGGGTATGACATCCCACTGTTGGCTGAGGAGCTATTGGCATTCCATTACTTCTGTGATTAACACACATACACACACACACACACACACACACACACACACAAAATCTCTTCAGCTCTCATGACAAGCTTCATTCTGTGTTTCAGTTAGGCCTGGACATTTGGACTCTGAAGTTCCTGTGAGTGTCCTTTATTTCCAGTGCTTTCTTCCTTAGTTAGGCATAGAGTCTCACCACAAATCTTTCTCTAGGATGACATAATCTTCAGTGTCAACTGGCTTCATTTGTTTTCAGTCCATAAAGCTAATTTCATCTCTTCTTTTTCTTCATTCCCCTCTCAGCACAGTGTATTATTAGGTTTTGAAAGAGTTTTAAAATTCAGTATACTTTCCCTCGTTTAAAATCTATCCCAGGGTATCCATCCCCACACATGGTACTATGTGAATTTAGAACTTACCTCACCTGGTTACTCATATCTAGATACAAATCCTTCAATCTATTCTCCCACCATACTAAGAGCATTTTATTAAAATGACTTGTACAGTCATATTCACTGATATGTAGTTATTTGTTCAGCCATGCTCACCAATGTATAATTTGTACAGTCATGTTCACTGATAAATATAATTATATGTACAGCTATGTTCACTGATGTATAATTTGTACAGCTATGTTCACTGATGTTTAATTTGTACAGCCATGTTCACTGATGTATAATGTGAACAGCCATGTTCACTGATATATAATTATTTGTACAGCCGTGTTCACTGATGTACAATTCATAATAACCAGTATAAAGATACAGCCTAAATGTCCATCAGCAGATGAAAGATGCAAAATCTGCAGCACACATACTGTAGAATGCTGTTCAGCCTCCAAAAGGAAGAGACTCTTCTCACTAGCTGTGCTTGGTAAAATAATTCAGTCACCGAAGGACAAATACTCTTATGATTCTACTTACATTAGGTATCTACTTACAGAAGGAAGCAGAAGGGGCTGAGGAACAGGAAGTAGGAAAATGGTTAAATGTGCATAAAGTTTAAAATATTCAAGTAAAAAAAATACTCTGTGTATGAATAAATTAACACTACTGAACTGTTAAAAAACAAACCAAGTGGTCATTTTTTGTCACCTTTTCATAATTGTAATATTAACCATATCACTTCTATTTTAAATGCCTCGGTATCATTCTCACTATCATCGCTCACTATCATTTCTCACAGTCTGAATCCCTTCACATTCAAACTAAAATCTCTTATGATCTGGTCACTGTCTGCTTTTAATTTATCCAGTTTCCATCACTCTAGCTATAATCCATACAAGTAGCGCCTTCAATTTACCTCTTTCCCTCATTCTGTCTAGTCTTTGAAAGCAAGGCACTCTCTGTTCCTGGACTGAGGTAGAAGCCACACCCCAAATCATCCAATAATTGGCAAGATTTATTGTCAATGTCTACAAATGGTGATGTTCTCGAGAACAGGGAAAATATAAATTCCTTATTTCTGGATCTCTATGCCCTGGCACAGTACCTTGTGCACAAGATTGAGTCAAAACGTGCTTATTAAGTGTGTAAGTGAACTCATAACTAAGCTAACTCAGGAAAAGAAATAATTCTTTCTACTTCAAGCATCATAAAATTCATACTCGTCAACACATCACAAAATACTTTTAATAAAAACACGCAGCATTATTTAGTAAAGGATTCTGTAATTATTTTTGGTAGACCAAAATTAATTGTGTTTCTTTTTTAAAGGGAGTTAGCACACCCTCCATAAATAGAAGCTGGTGCAAACGACAAGGTAATAATGTTCCATTTTCTAGCCAATGTATGAGCACATGACAAAAGCTAGGCCAAATTATCTCTTTATTTATAGCGTTTGAGTTCTGAGAATAATGACAAAAGAACTGAAAATAACTTTGCCTAAAATAGGTATGCATCAGCTCCTCTCTGCATCACTCGGTTTTGTTTTTTAAATCAACTATTCTAAACCTCGGTACCTTAAGGAAATATGTTTCATTTCAGTGTGTTAAACTGGGCTTCACAGAAAGATTCTACTTATTTTGGTGGGGTGGACCCCCATGCTTGCAAGAGACCTGTCGATTCATGGCATTGACAAGAAATATGGGGCCAGTAGGTGATTCTGTCCCCCAGTGTGCTAGCCTGGCACTCTTTCATGGTGATGACAGAATAATAAAAGCAAGCAAGTGGTATTGTAAAAACACTTCAAGCTTTGCTTGTGTCACTCACAGTCATTGACATTCCACTGATTAAAAGTCCTGTGAGCCCAGAGCAGGGCAGGAAAACCATCTAGAGGTCAATGTATTGAATATATGACCAAACCCTACACTTGGGGATTACAAGGGATTCTGGCTCTTGGGGCAAGCCACACACAACAGCTGAGCAGCTCTACCTGCCCTTAATTCCCATTCTAGCTTTAAAAAAAATTGGATATTTTTCTTATACAATATTTCTTGATTACAGTTTCCCCAAACCCTGCCTACTCTTGGGTGTATGTCTCTGCATCTGTGCCCCCTGTTATTGGGGGAAGTCTCTTTGATGATGACTGCATAAGGCACCAATCTATTGCTATAGCAGAATATCATCAAGAGGCATTTTAATAATGTGGTTTGTTTTTGTTTTTTTTAGGCCAGTAGTCTTTGGTTTTACCCTATGCCTCTGGGCTATCTAGTCTCTGGTTCTTGGGTACACAAGGAGTGTAGGGTGTGGGTTCCTTATCGTGGAGTGGGGCTTATATCAAACCAGA